AATTTTTATTTTCATCTCTTTTGCACTTCTTAATTTACATTTCTTAATTTGTTTCTACTCTTCTTATACACACTTCTTCGGTGTATTTGGCCCATTATATTTAGCTGAAACACATGTACATGTACACTAGTACACTACATACTAAGCCTATGATACACACTTGTTGCTAATTCTCAACGATTTGTGCATCTGCTGGTTGACACACACACACACACTGTGTAGGGCTAGCTCCATCCACAAGAGAGCCTTGAGGTTGGGCACCAGAGGCTGGAAGAAGTCGTCACAGGAGAGAGCAAGCAGATCACCACTCATGACAAGCTCAAAAAATCTGGAAGGAAGACGTCGCCGAGGAGCTAGTGAGTACGTTGCAAGAAACAAATGCCATCGTCACCAGCTTCCACACGTCTTCAACGTGCTCTAGGAGCACAAACCCAAAGTTGGTCATGCCGCAAGCCACCATCACCTTGCTCCCGGAACATGAGGCGGTACTTGCTATCAGCAAAGAGTTTGGGTTCATACTAAGGCTTATTATCTGAATCTGGGCACTCCGTTTTGGGGCACCTATGTCCTCCACCACATGCTTACTTAGTGCACGCGCAAAGGGCATGCAGGCACGTACATGTTTTGCGTCAGTCACCTCAGAACCCAGCTCCCCACCAAGCCCCCATGCGACTGACAGCATTCCTGGCTACCAAAAAGAAATTTAAATTTAAGACAACGTGTCATCCTCCTTTTGCATAGTTTTAACTTTAAATGTTAATTTTTTCTCCGTGAAGTTCAGGTTGACGGCGGTACTTTGCTCACTCAGCGGCCCATGTTTCTGCTTGACTCACAGAGGGTTTAAAACCAGGGATAACTGCAAGAAAGAGCACTGACATGTTTTCAAAAGTAGTTGTCACAGGAACATCTGCCATCCTGGAACACATGAACCTGACTGGCATCTTTGCAGATGATTAGCCTTTTTTCCAGCTTAGAGATGAGAGCAGTGGCCGCATGGCAATCGTCACAAACTCGGAGATTTTTCACGATTCTGATGGTCTCCTTCTGGTGCGAGTTCACCAGAGCACACCCCAGCGCAAGCTTCTCACTGTGGCCGCACAGGTGATCTTCCTCAGGTATGTCTTTTAGAACGTTGATCACATCGCTCGCGTACCCCTCCTCTTTCATTCTCAGCAACAATTGCTTGAGCTTGGCCGCAATCTCGTCGCTCTGTGAGTGACTCCTATCCCCGACAGAAAAAGAATGCACTTTTCCTGAGCTAACATCCGTCCACCAGCTTCTCCCGGGCTCCCTGAAGCTGCCTTCACCTCTCATTCTCTCCACAACAGCGGCCCTTTCACTGAGCATCCCCAGGTTTCCAAATATATTGGCCATCAATGCGTAGGGCGTGCCGCTCTTGGGATCCATCTCCACAAGACGCTCAAACGCGAGTTTGCCGATCATGTAATTCTTCCACTTCCGGCAGGCTCCGAGCAGGGACGTCCAAACCACTGCATCCGGTTCAAAAGGCATGGCTCTGAGAACTCTCACAGCTTCGTCGAGGAGGTTAGCTCGCCCGAGCATATCGATCAGGCACACATAATGCTCCAGACGTGGCTTGACTCCATACTGCTTGGGCATTTCATCCAGAAGCTGCCTTCCTTTCCCGACCAGACCACCATGGCTGCAAGCGTTCAACACCGAAACAAAACTCACATCGTCAGCTTTACAGCCCTCCTCCTGAGTCATGGAATAGAAACGCTCCAAGGCCTCGATCGATCGGCCCTGGAGAGTGTAAGCCTGTATGAGAGAGTTCCAGAGACCCGTGTCGTCCCGAGCTCGGCACTCGTCAAACGCTTCCTGAGCAGAATCAACATCGCCGCATTTGCCGTAGAAGCTCACCAGGCTGGAGCCCAGAACTGGATTGTTTTTCAGCAGCCCTTTATGCTTCGCCAGCTGGTGAATCTCCCTCCCGAGCTTGATCGCCATCACACTCCCGCAAGCAACAAGGACGCAGGTGTAGGTGCAAGCATCAGCTTGAATGGTGTTATCAGCTCTCAGGGCAGAGTAGTACTCCAGAGCAAGTTCAGCTTGCCCATTCGAGCCGCAACCCTGGATGATCGCAGTGTAGGACACAACACTCCGAGTTCCCATGGAGTTGAAAATCTTGCGAGCCTCCTCAAGCTCGCCACACTTGCAGTACATGTCTACCAGGCAATTCGCCACGAACAGATCTAGCTGTTTCTTCTCCTTGCTCAGCATTGAATGGATCTCCATCCCGATGCGTAGAGCTCTCTCCCTCTTCTCGCTGGATTCGGTAGCAAGTGTGGAGCAGGCGCTGATCACCACGACATGAGTCTGATCGTCGGGTTGAATGGTGTTATCAGCTCTCAGGGCAGAGTAGTACTCCAGAGCAAGTTCAGCTCGCCCGTTTGTGTTGCAGCCCTGGATGATCGCGGTGTAGGACACAACACTCCGAGTTCCCATGGAGTGGAAAATCTTGCGAGCCTCCTCAAGCTCGCCACACTTGCAGTACATGTCTACCAGGCAAGTCGCCACGAACAGATCTAGCTGTTTCTTCTCCTTGCTCAGCATTGAATGGATCTCCATCCCGATGCGTAGAGCTCTCTCCCTCTTCTCGCTGGATTCGGTAGCAAGTCTGGAGCAGGCGCTGATCACCACAACATGAGTCCGATCGTCGGGTTGAATGGTGTTATCAGCTCTCAGGGCAGAGTAGTACTCCAGAGCAAGTTCAGCTTGTCCGTTCGAGCCGCAGCCGTGGATGATCGCGTTGTAGGACACAACACTCCGAGTTCCCATGGAGTCGAAAATCTTGCGAGCCTCCTCAAGCTCGCCACACTTGCAGTACATGTCTACCAGGCAAGTCGCCACGAACAGATCTACCTGTTTCTTCTCCTTGCTCAGCATTGAATGGATCTCCATCCCGATACGTAGAGCTCTCTCCCTCTTCTCGCTGGATTCGGTAGCAAGTCTGGAGCAGGCACTGATCACCGCGACATGAGCCCGATCGTTGGGTTGAATGGTGGTACAAGCTCTCAGGGCAGAGTAGTACTCCAGAGCAAGTTCAGCTCGCCCGTTCGTGTTGCAGCCCTGGATGATCGCGGTGTAGGACACAACACTCCGAGTTTCCATGGAGTGGAAAATCTTGCGAGCCTCCTCAAGCTCGCCACACTTGCAGTACATGTCTACCAGGCAAGTCGCCACGAACAGATCTACCTGTTTCTTCTCCTTGCTCAGCATTGAATGGATCTCCATCCCGATGCGTAGAGCTCTCTCCCTCTTCTCGCTGGATTCGGTAGCAAGTCTGGAGCAGGCGCTGATCACCGCGACATGTGTCCAATCGTTGGGTTGAATGGTGGTACAAGCTCTCAGGGCAGAGTAGTACTCCAGAGCAAGTTCAGCTTGCCCGTTCGAGCCACAGCCCTGGATGATCGTGTTGTAGGACACAAGACTCCGGGTTCCCATGGAGTCGAAAATCTTGCGAGCCTCCTCAAGCTCGCCACACTTGCAGTACATATCGATCAATCCCGTCAACAAGTAGATGTTGCTTTTGTGCTCATCACTCTTGAGCACAGCTTCATGGGCTTGTTTTCCCAAAGAAAGGGATCTGCTCTCAGCTGAGTCTCTCACGCGGTGTATCAGCCTCCCTAAACTCACCGGTTCATCACCAGCTACAGGTGGGGTATGTGGAGATTTGTAGCGGGCCGTGGCGGCCTTACCTACAGCTGGGTCAGCGAGCGACTCGAGTTTTGCAGAGACCCAGGTTGGTGTTTTCCTGTTGGCGATCCACAGGCTCTCTCCGGTAGAAACATGTTTGAAATCCGGGTAGGACTCTGAGAAGAACTTGTTTTTCTTCTTGAACCTGTTGTCCCACCAGAAAGTGGGATCCCTGAAAAACGTTTTCCACTCCATGAGAAATGACACACACACCACACAAACCCTAGCGCCGCACACATACCCTAGAAATCCCGATTTGTTAGTACTTAACTGTAGCAGTAAAAAGCTCGTGTTTTCTGTTTTTTCTTTTTCTAATTCTTTTCCTTTTCAAACTCTACAATGTCACAGCTTATAGATGTTTATTGTTAAAAACAAATCGCTTTGATATATATAGAAAGTGAGCCAGCAGCAATCAATTGCTCAATAGCTGAAGAATCAGTACATGCATAATTTTCAGACAATCTTCTAACTGGCTGAACATCAGGTTTTTATGATTATTATTATTATTACTTATTATTACTAACAACACGCACGAACTTCCTAGAAATCCCGATTTGTTATTCTCTGCATTCATTTTTTATATAATCTGTTGCTGCATGCACTTAACTGTAGGTAGTCTTCAGTTCTTCAATATAATCTGCTAACTAAAAGATATCGATACACTCAATATGCAAAAATAAACCACACTCTACACAAATTAAATAAAAAATGCTCTTCATGGGGCTACACGGCCAGAAGCCTCAGGGCACCAGTTTCATGCAGAACACTTTCGCAAATGACTCTCACCCGGGGCCTGTGCACAGGAGTCCTCGGGCGGTGGTAAAACCTCACAAGGCCTCACGTACTTATATTCACCCTGGGCTTCTGGCTGCTCCGCAACATACCTTACCACACCAAACTCTTTGCACATGAAGCCACGCACAGAGGAAAAAACCGCACAAGGCCTCACATGCTTACATTCAGTCCTTATGTGTTCTTGGCCTCGCTCAGTTCATCTCCTTTGTTGTCCACCTGTGCTTCTTTACTTCATGTTTTTGCTTGCATGCTTCGATTGACATCTTCAGATTTTCAAGCGAACGATTGTGGCATACCGTGGCTACGTTTTTTGGCAGAGCTTGGAGGTGCTGAAAGTGGCATTAAGTTCATGGAAGATTGATCTTGATTTGGATTGTATGGATCTCTATAAATTTTGAAACTTGAGTTTATTTTTCTTCTTTTTCTTCTGTTGAAGTCCACAGCAGGCCTTTGAAACGAGGCCACTGGTGTCAAACTTGCTTTTGCAGACTATCTCTAGTACTTCTGGATGCGATCAAGGCCTGCTGCTCATTGCTTCAAAGGAGGAGATGATAATTGATCCCCAAAGAGCGAGCTCGATGGTTTTGTTGCTTTCATCAAGTTATCATTCCGCTGCGATCTGAAACACCACATCGTCCACTGTACTTTCACAGGTTTCGAGACAGATACCCAGGAAAGGTGTATTCCATTGTTGTTCCTCAGGACCTGGACTTGTTTTGCCGCCTCAAGTGTGAGCTGATCAAGATGAGGGAGAAGCTTGCAATGGCGGAGGCTTGGGCTCGAGCAAGGTTGCAGATGCAGTATGAGGATGATTTCTTCTACAACTATGATGAGTGGGACAGCTTTGTGGATCTTTCCACATTGAGATCGTCGATCAGAGAGTGTTGTAGCATAAGTTATCTCCTGGAGAAATGGTCCTGGCTCAAGGAGCAGTTTGCACGCATCCGCACGTCAAGATTGTTGGAGAGCTCAACTGGAAGGTGACTGAAGATGCTTGAACACCTCTTCACATGCAAATTTGCAGTTGGTATTTGGCTCTTTGATCAGAGACCTAGGTCCAGAATCAGCTGGTTCATCACGAAATACGGTGACATTTTTCCCTCTGCTCCAACTATGATGAACAGTAGCTGAGGAGAGAGAAGCTAGCAAAGCATCCCGCTAACAAAAACACTAACTGTCTCACGTGACACAGCACCTCCAGCCATCAGCGGGGTCAGAAAAGAAAGAAAGGATAGGAGCAAGCGACTACTTCTCCTCTTCCTCTAGAATGTCATCCAAGTCATACTCAAAATTAGGAAACAACATCATCCTCAGCTTCCCATGTAGCATCATATGGAGAATAACCATTCCACTGAACAAGTAACTCTCTCCAAGTCTTACGATGTGTGCGCGCTAGCCGTTGCTATAACACACAAGTAGGGCCAACCTTCAAACATCTATCTCTGGAATCTTGATTGCAGACTGGTCCAAGATATTACCAGAATGCAAACATGCCTTCAACTTCCTACACACCACTAGGCAAGTCTAGTTGATAGGCAAGGTCTCCAACTCGTTTGAGAATAATCCAAGGCCCACAGTACTGTGGCGATAACTTAGAACTACCTCCACCTTGAAGAGCTCATTGAGCTTCAGACAACCGAAGGAAAACCTTGTCTCCAACCTGAAACTGCTTGTGCTGACAATGCTCATCAGCCAACTCCTTTACCTGGTGCACCTTAAGAGAAGCCAAGTTCATACCAACAGGGGACCGAGGTTGAAAGCCATACATTGCCATAAACAGAGCCATCTCAATAGCCAAATGGAAGGCACAATTATGGGCAAACTCTAACAAAGGCAGGTCCTTCTCCCAAATACTTTGCCTCTTCAGATGACCAACAAACGATCTCAGCATGTCTTCCAGCACTTAATTAACTTGTTTTGTTTGTCCATCTGACTATGGATGCTCATGCTCAGCTTTGTCTCAAGCTTCTGGAACACCATCTGCCAAAACACCAAAGTGAACGTGGGATCCCAATCACTTACAGCATCCTTAGGCAGCCCATAGAAAAACAGCTGAGCAAGGTCAAAATCCTTAGCATTTGTCTTCACAAGGAAGAAGTGAGCCAACATCATCACACAATCCACAACAACCCAGATAGCATCATTGTCTTGAAGCGTGTACTATAAAATTCATAGAAAATGCTATCCCACTTCTGCTGAGGTTAACTATGGTAGAGACCTTCATGCTTCTGACAATCCATTGTGACTGCCTGGCCGGTCTAGCAACTGTGCACATACTTATCAACACCTGACTTCATTCCAGGCCAAAATAAATGTGCCTCTACCAGAACACACATCCTCGATCAACAGACACTCTTACAGAATCCACTGTCAACGACTATCTGAGTCTTTTGAGAATCCTCCTTCACACCATCTCATGGCACCACATATCCGAGATAGGTGATCTCCTCCAAGAAGAACTCACGCTTTGACAGTTTAGAATACAGTTTGTTCTCCCTCAATAGTGGCAGCATTTGCCTCATATGCATCTCATGTTCCTCCTTAGTCATAGGACATCATCAAAGTAGTGCCTCACACATGAGATTGCATAACTCTATCAATAGAACTGTTTGATAATAGTTAGCCTCGGCCATCATATGAAGCAACATCTTTGCTGAGTTAGAAAAGACTCCTTGTGCATTCCAAAGCTTCAAAACGAGATAGTCAAAGGATCTCAGCTAGCAATAAGTTGTTCTAGCATGGTTAGTCATTTTTTTGATAGATTTTTCTTGGTTGATTTTGTATTATATTGCCATTCATAGTGATAGAACGATATACTCGAGTGGTGTTAAAGCTTCAAGGCCGTAGGTGAGCTTGAATAGTGTTGAATTTGTTAAAACCTTATGTGTAGTTCGATATGCCTATAGAGCATTATAGATGTGATCATCCCAGTTTTTCTGATTTATTTTCACGATTTTCATAAAGATGTTTTTGAGTGTCTTGTTTGTAGACTCTGTTTGACCATTGCCTTGAGGATAGTACGGTGTTGAAGCCTTGTGCTGGATAGTGAATTTTTGAGTCAGAATTTTGATGGTTTCATTGATGAAGTGTGTTCTTTGATCAATGACGAGTTCTCAAGGTAAGCCATATCTTGTGATGATGTTTTCATAAATGAACTTTGTTATGTTCTTTGTTGTAGTAGTCTTTATTGGTTGAGCTTTAGCCCATTTTGTGATATAGTCTATTGCAATTTGAATGTACTAGTTTTGTTTGGAGCTTGTCATAAGTGGACCAACAAAGTCAAGTCCCCATCATTGAAAAGGTTCGAGTAGAGTTTTTAGATGAAGTTCTTGAGTTTATTTCTTTGGTGCATACTTGGTTCATTGGTAGATGTCACATTTATGACAGAACTTGGCTTAGTTGTGCCAAAGTGTTGGCCACCAAAGTCTTGGTTGTAAAATTATTTCAGATGTGATTTCTTCAGCAAAATGTCCACCTATTTATCCACAGTAAGCTTCTTCAAGTAGATCTTATGTTTCTTCTAGGTTTGCACATCTTTGTAAAATGTTGTCTCTTCCTTGTTTGTACAATTTTCTTCCCACGACTAAATATGGTCTTGTCCTCAAGACAAATTGCTTGCACTTGTTAGAGGTTGAATATCAACTTGGTATTGTTGCTGTTGTAAGGTAGTAGTAGATGTTGTCCATCTAGGTTGGTGATGTGTGGATTCAAAGGATATTAGAGTCAGAAAAGTCATCTATATTGTGTTTCAGTTGTTTATCAGTTGTAATGTGGCTTAGGGGTTCATGTTCTCTTCCAGGCTTGTAAATGATTTCAAAGTTGTATTCTTGAAGTAGTAAGAACCATCGTGCAATTCCATCGGTGAGGATTGTTTTGTTGAGAAAGTAGAGGACGTTACCGAGTAGGTACTATCGAAACTTCTGGAGTATGTAGATCATTGCTAGAGCTTCTTTTTCAGTTGTAGTGTAGTTCATTTCGGCTGAGTTGAGTCTTCAACTTGCATAGTAGATTGGTCAGTCTTTATGATCTTCTTGTTGTTGCAAAAAGATCGTTCTAAGGGCATAATTGGAGGTGTTGACTTGGATGTTGAAGTCTTTGTTCTAGTTTGGTTGAGCAAGTATTGGAGCTTGGGTGAGAGAATTCTTGAGGTTGATGAAGGCATTTTGACAATCTTGAGTCCAGTTGTAAGCTTGATTCTTCTTGAGGAGTTTAGCAATAGGTTTTGCAATCGTGGCATAGTCTTTGATGAATGTTCAATGGTATCCCATCTTACCGAGGAATGATCAAAGGCTTGCAATGTTGAATGGATGTTGTATGTTGGTGACTGTGAGGGTCTTGTCCTTGTTGATGAGGATTCCTTCTTTGGAACCTATATGTCTGAGTAGAATTCCTGATTTGAC